GGGCTCTTGAAGCGTCACGTCTCCATCTCGCCGAAAAAACGGAATTACTCTTCGGCCAATGTGCTCAGATTTCCCAAAAAGTGCAACTAGCGAAGTCCCCACCGAGCTCGCCCAAAGTCAACCCCTACGGGCGGAGGGACTAATTGTATGGGTCAAAATCTGAACAAACGAATTCTATTTAAGGAAGAGCGACCAAGAGTCGATCAAGCCAAGGTCAAGTATAGGAAGCAATATACCGGTGAGCGATTCAGTTACAATCGAGGTCGAGCACTCAATTCGGCCTGAATGGCTAGTTCAACACTTAGATATTTTAGAGGAATATTCTATGGAATATTCCAAGAACTTAGGTATTCTGATTAAGGACCGCTAGGTAAGAAAAGTATTTGGTATAAATATCATGAGAGAGTGTGACATAAAGGGGGTGGGGGGAGGGAGGGGGTTGAGAAGTATAGACACAAAAAAACATATACATCTTTCTAATGGGAAGTATGTTTACTAATCCCAGGCTCCTCGCTGGAAAAAGGAAAAAAAAGCTTAGAATCTCGATGTTCATGTGTAATTAATTTAATCAAATGTATGGAGGTCGGTCTTGTTCAAGCATGGTGACTTTTCTCATTCATGTATTCTTCATTATCTGTTGATATTATTGGAACAATCTTCCTTTTTCTTATATTACGAAATTCAATCGTAACTATAATCAGATTTTATATTCAGCTATGCTTGTTTATTCCTATCTTCTGTCTCAGATCTAGAATTAATTATCTCTGGTTAGAATTTGCCCCAAATCTTCTTATTTAATTAATTTCACAAAAAGGCCTAAAACTTTTTTGTTAGACAGTTTCATTTTTTGCCCATTGATAGGATTAGTAGAAGGAATTCCCATCACGTTCTCTTCAACTTTTCCGTTATACATCAATTGTTCCTAAATCAACAAACTCATGGATTCAATTTGAAAAATATTATTACCATTAATCAAATATGATTGTTCTAAGAAAGACATGCATTAGCTAATATAAGTATATAAAAAACATTAATTGTCACATGAATTGATCTCAAAATTAGACTATCCATAATAATTTGGATAATTAATCAATCAACATCCTAGATGCAAACTCAAGGACAATATGACATTAATTCGCTAGATGAGTTTACTACACCATTTTGCATAAGTTGTCTAGTCGCTGAAGCTTGAGTTGAGAACAAAACATCTTCAAAAAAATGTTAATTGCATGTGCAAGTGACATATTATAGGTTCTGGAGCTGAAGAAAGAACTTCATGGCCAGGTGGTTGTACCTCGAAAACCAACAATTTGTGGATTAATTTTGGGACTTTCTCTCACATATACGAGATTTTAAACTTATATATCCGATTTATCTAAGTTTTTTTATTTATAAAAAGTAACTAAAGTTTTTAATAAAATATAGACAAATCCTATCAAAATCTATAATTTATCTATAATTATCGGTAACGTAAATATAATTTGTTTGTACAAAATTCGGTGAAAAAGCTATAATTTACATACAATTAACGAGTACAAAATTACCGGTGTATAAAACTTAGGCTCGCTAGTCAAAGATAGTATAGTATTAAATCGTCATCACATGAATTGATTCAAATAATGTTCTAATAAATCTTCAGTGTAACCCTCTCCTGGAAAATCAACCTTTGATTTAAGTAATTACCGAACTAATAATAAAAACTAAGATTATCAATTGTGAGAAAATTATGAAAATTTAGTGGCTAAGTAGCAATAATTGAATATCATGGTGAGAAGTAAGGGCGTGGACAAGATATGTAATCAACTATTATTATGGGTAATTCCGTGCTAAGTTCACTCTTAACTTCTATTGACTCTTTCGATTTCAACAGATGATTAAGCTATCTTCAGGATTTAAATTCTTTTTCCGAATGAATGAGAGTTTCGTTAACCAACCTAATGACAGGTTCTATGAACATATGCAAAAATACATTGAATGACTGATCTAACAAAGAACATCTCTTGACTATTCTTCCAAATTGGGTCAAATGATAACTCCCCAAGCTATTTCGATTACCTATGAAAGGCGTAAAATCAACCCAAACAAGATAACACAATGCGAATTGCAGCAAAACTTCTCTTTTGATTAAAGTAAAACCACAATTAGCCTTGCCATTCAATTAGTAACTCATTCAACGAATTCATGCAACTAACAGGAAGCAAACCCCAAAATAATAGTCAAATCACAATATCCGTCAATAAACCTAAGAAAGATTACTCCATAGTGGAGAAGTTGTTTATGACAAGAGTATTAGAAAAACAAGAAGACATTACAATTCCCAAAATCAAACAAACTTCCGTATTGAATGAATTGGATGAAATATTTATTGTCTCTTTTGTTTCCTTGCCTTCATCTCTCCAAAAGTTGCTCCAAGATCCGAGATGCCTTGTTTTGAGACGAGATAGGCTTCATATAGATAAAAAGGGCCGCCTCCAAATTTACAAAAAAATGCCTGGGTCAAATTCCATGAGGCGAACGTGCGCGGCCGCGTACTTGGAAGTGTGACCGCGCTCATGGCCGCACACCTCTGGCAGAACTCTGTGTCACTTGCGCGCTGGGGATCGCTCGTGCGTGGTTGCGCACCTGGGTTTTCCTCCTGCTCAACTCTTTTTCCTCCCACTAAGTGCACTATTCGTCAATTGATCCCCTCTGCATCACCTGCACGGAAAGACAACATATTAGACCCAAATTCGACCAAATCTCTATCGAATCAGCCAAAACAAAGACGCAAAATGGGCATAAATAATAAGTAACTTTAAGCTCATCAGAAATTTGTGTACAATTATAATAGTTGTATATATATTTTGTATGCCGTTTCTGCACCCCGACATACAAAATATATACAATTTATTTATATCTTCTTCATCGAGTTTCAATCAGAAATTTTAACCAAAACCACCTCGAATCTTCACCAAATTTCCTCAAAATTGATATATAAACTCCAAAGGATATTCTCAATAACTTGCAGTAATGCCCAATTCTAACTAATAACAATTTTGCAAAATTCGATTTCGAGTTCAAAGCTTCTAAGCTTTCTAATGGCTGTCAATGACGTTTAAGCTCATATACACACGGTCTAATTCAGCTTAGTTTCAATTATACCGTCAATTAGTTTCAATTCAGTTCTAAGCGCCTCTCCCGTAAACAATGCCTTGTTTATTCATAAAAAAAACTTATGGTAACCCATGTTGGTGCTTCATGTATGTATTTTATGGCTTTGAGCCACTTGAATCATTTTTCTCTACCATTCTTCAAAGCTCTGAGCATGTTCATCTGCAAAAGCCGAATCAAAAAGGAACTAAGCGAGAAATACAGAGGAAAAATAGAGAAGAATAAAACCTAAAATGGGTAAGATTGGATTCTAATATATTATTTTATATGTTAATAGTAAATTGTATATGCTAATGTAATTAAGTAATAACCTTTCCATTAAGGGTAAATAAGTTTAAAATGTAGTATAAATTCCTTATTTTTGACCTTTTATATTTTTTCAGCAGAAAAAGGAGTTATCGGCCCGATTAAATAGATGAAAAAATATTAAGGGTATTAGTTCATAATCATTAAAGACTAAGGGTGTGTTTGGTATAACGGAAAATATTTTTCACTTTTTTCTTGAAAAACAAATAGTAATCTTATTCATTTTCCAGTGTTTGGTACGCAAATTAAGGAAATGACTTCTCAAGAGTATTCATAAATAATTTAGATATAATAACCATGAAGCCATAAACTTTCAAACCAACAACATTCCGAACCCACATTTTTCATAAATTTTCGAACCGCTAAACTTCGAAACCACGGAATTTCGAACCCGTAAACTTTATAATTTCTAAACCCGTAAACTTCCAAACACATAAACCTCCGAACTAATAATTTTGGAACTTGTAAAATTTTGAACCTTTAAACTGATAAATAAAAAATTAAAATAGAAAAATATAATTAAAAATTATTTTTTCGGGTGGAGGGGGGAGCGGGAGTTGCAGAAAAACAAAAAAATAAAAATTTAAAATTGCAAAAAAATAATATTAAAAAATAATTTTTTTGCGGGATGGAGGTGAAGTGGAGGGGTAGTAGGGTGGATGGTAATGGAAAAACTGAAATTCGAAAAAAAAAAGCCTTTTTTTGAAGAGAGGGGATGAGGTGGGTTGGTGAGGGTGAGGAAGGTTGAGAATGAGTTTTGGAAAATGTTTTCCCTCCTCTTGATAAAGAAAACATTTTCCTCTAGAGGAAAATGAGTTAATAATAAAAATATTTTTCAAAACATTTTAGCCAACCAAACGTAGAAAAATTGAAAAACATTTTCGTTCGTACCAAACACACCTAAGGGTTAAAGCTAAATTTACCTTTTTATTTGCGAATGTTCCATAGTAAAAAAATAACAGACCTCTCTGTCTTTACTATTGAAACCATTCTATTCCTGATTGGCAACCCGGTAAGATCTTCATTGATTTCATGGTCTCCTCTTCCATGATTGTTAAATATTTTTCCTTCTCATTTAATGTGCTTTTTAGCTATAGTTAATCTATTTTTCCTTTGTATCAATTGGTAATTGTTCGACTCAGTATTCTGTGAATCACCCAGTTTTATATTCTTCTCTTCAATATCGATATCCTTCTTTTTTGAGTTTTGAAAAAAGGGAATCGCGAAAAAAAAGTTATAGGGGAAAACATTAATCAATTAGCAGCTGCTAAAACTGAGTCAAAAGAAGATTTTCAACTTCTTTTGGGTGAATGGTTGCGGAGTTTTTGGATATTTGACATTAATATTCCGTGCGGTTGGAGGGGTTGGTTGGTGTGGAGATGTTTGATCAAAATCATCCCAGAAATTTTGGTTTAGTGGACAACTATTATACAAATATGATTTATTTAGCATAATTATTTCAAGAACTCATCAATCAGAACTGCTGCTGCTCTCTAGTTCGGGAGTTGATTCAGGAGATTGATGGATACTGGATAAAGGTTACAATTTCGCATTAATTTGCCACATTTTGTGTTCGACTATTGAGTTGTGGAGTACCTATTTAAGGAATTAAAGTCTTTACAAGAGTTTAGACCTCTTGGGAGTTTCAAATAGTTTGTCCCAAACCCAATGGCCAGCTTAAAAAGAAGTCATGGCATTATGAGTCCTCTAACACAGACAAATATTTTTGAATTGGAATGAAATTGGGCCGAATAGATTGGCAATGATGTAAATGATTCATATAGCCAATAAGTTTGGGATTGAAGTGTAATTGGTTCACAAGAGTTTGATCTCATGGCCTTCAAGCCCAACATCTTGGTGAGATGTGCATTGTGAACACAATTTCAGATCGTTAATTCCACATACTTATAAAACCATTCCTTCGAGGATATTAAATGAAAATGGTATTAGGCAAGTTTACACAGTTATGGTGTTTAGCGTGGTTCTGAGCTCATTCATTACATTTCGGCTGCTCTCTAGTTTAAAAGTTGAACCTGTAGTTTTGTGGGTACTGTTAAAGTTGAGTTACATTAATCCCTCTGCCGGAAAAGTTAATGTGCCATCTTGTGCTCAACTTTTAAGTTGTCTCTCTATTTGTCAATTGCAACTGGTAACTAACTGATCAAGAATAGAACTTCACGTCATGAATTCTTACTTATAAAGCCTTTCTAAGAAGTATATCTAACAGAATTGTTATTTGGAATTTGGTTCCAGATTTCTATACATTTTGGAACATAAATAATATGACCTTTACTAAATGATGTAGTGCAACTTGAATGGTGATTATTCATAGATCAAATGGAGATGTTTTAGTTTTTTTCCCCTAAAACGCCAATGAAAGCTTGTAGGTTTCACAATGCAGGAATTTCTAATCTAAAGTGTTTGAACTATCATCGGAAGAGGGTATTGGAATTTGCAACACTAAGGTCTAATTTTTTTCAAGTGTCTCTTGATTTTCTTCTGTATTCATGTACAGTTACTGATTTACTAGTAACGACTGATATGCCAAATATTCCAGAACCCCTAAATTTTCTGAAAGTTCAAGCTATTTCAAGGAAGCAAACAAGAAATGGATCAAGCTCTGGATTCATATAGGGGGCAAATTGAAGCTCTAATGCGTGCAATGTCCGTAGCAAAAATCATAAGAGAGGATAAGGATCCTTGTATGATTGAAGAGGTACTAAACCATGAATCCTAGCCCTTCTAGTTTTTTTACCTATCCTTATTAGTTTTCTTGTACTTCTTAGGGTCTCTATTTAGGGTCCTTTGGAGCTGCCAACAGTAAAGATGCACTCAAAAGCTTGAATATAACTCATATTTTGACGATTGCCAGAGATTTAAATCCGTCTTATCCAAATGAATTTGTGTACAAAGTCCTTACTGGTAGGAAGTCTCTAACTTTGTTTGATATTGCTGACTTGCTTTGGATTTGTCTTGAATATATGCACGTGATGAGAAAATCTGCATATCCTTTTTATATAAGTCAATGAATAATGCGCCATCCATCTCTTACGTGGTCTGCTATGTAAAAATATTCAGCAACCACTATACTAAGAAATTAGAAAACAGGAAATACCATACCACACCCTCAGTTGTCCACACTAGTGTTTCTGCTATACCGTGTTTTCCTTCCTGTTACCTGTCTTCTGTTTTTGTTTGTAGTGGTCCTACATACAACAACAACAACATACCCACTGAGATCCCACAAGTGGGGTTTGGGGAGTTGGGGTCTATACAAACCTTACCCTTAGCTTGTGTGAGGTAGAGAGGCTATTTCCAATAGACCCTCGGCTCAAAAAAAGCATTTTGAAAACACGTTTGAAAAATACAAGAGTAAAAAAGTTATGATGAAAATACTTAAGAAAAGCAAAGTATTGACAACAAAAATAATAAAGATAATCAAAGTAAAAGAAACACTAATAGTAACAGATTGAAGAATAAAATAATAACAGAATAATAATAATGAGACGTAGTGGTCCTACATAATGAGTAAGAAAAGATTTCTGCTTAACTATCTAATTTGGAGACGCAAAGAACTCTTGTATTAGCAACATAAAGTACAACTTTTCCTACCAGAGCCTTTTTGGACTGTCTTTTTTACCACTCATACCAACTGCAGTGCAAAATTTCTTACTTATGATAATGGCTAGTTATAATTTTGATGCTTTACCTTCATTTCATCTACCTAGTAAAGATTAGAACTATCCAATTTACCTTATAAAAAAAAATAAATTTTATATATATACACACACATACATAACTTCTTAATTCAGTAAAGATAAACTGAGGCCTTCTGCCTCCATGTTTTCTTAAAAAATTCTCTTTTAATGAGATTGATGAATGATTTATTTGTATTTTCCACTTCTTGCAAATTTGAGACAGTTCACGACAGAGATGATGTAAATATTTCTCATTACTTTGAGGAATGCTTCGATTTCATTGAAAAAGCAAAAGGAAAAATTGAAGAAGCAAAAGGACAGGGTGGCGGTGTGTTGGTGCATTGCTTTGCAGGCAAATCCAGAAGGTGATTTCGAGCATCTTTGCCTGGATCAAAATCATGGTTTCATATGTGGGAAAACAATACAAAAGAGTGGTGTGTAAAACTATACTGGCTCTTAATAAATTTTTACAAGATTTTAAGCCAAAGTAGCTGCTCTCCAGCTTGCTTTGCTACATATAACTAAAAGAAAATTTCATGACTAATCCTAGTAGGTCAAGAATAGAGACCTTGATATCCCATCTTCAGCTTGATACTGTAACTAATGCAGTATTATGGAGCTAGCTTCCAACCACATCTTTCCGTAGATATTTGTATTTTTATTTTTGTTGCTTTGAGAAGGGGGTGGGTTGGACGACATTTATCCTGGATCAGCAAAGTGCCTATGATGTTATTTTCTTCTTTTTTTGACATTTGCATTCACTCTGAAGACCAAAATCTTTAACCTGGATATGTAAGTTTCTCCATGTTCCTTGCGTCTTTCATGTTCTGCTTTGCAAAACTAATGTACATGTGTAAAATTTCCAAGTTAAAACGTTGAAAGAATGACGTGTTATCGTCAATATCTTAATGATACGCTCATTTATGTTTCTTTTGATGGATTTTTGAAGGGTATCTGTGTACCGTTGTTTCTTTGTTGTAGGTGAGACACTCTGCTTACTTTGTCATCTGATCTCTATGAAATCCCTTGTAGCAATAGTAATTTTATCATCATGTCATGCAATACCTTTAGCTTGACTTCTTTATTACAATTACAAACCAAAAAGGTTTGTGTTTTCTTGTTATGAATTTGGTTACTGGGTTAAATTTTAATATGAAACCTTTTTACCCGTATGTCTTCCTATTCATATTCAGCAATCTGCTTCTTGCCCTCTTTTAGTTGATTTTATGTGGTCTGGATCTTGGGTTGGCTTTAGTAAATTGTTTGTCTGTATAAGACTTGAATCAGCTAGCTTTTTTGTAGTATAACATTTATGTCGTATTAAACTTACCTATTTCCTTCTTATAATATACCATACCCTTTAATCGACATTTCATGAACACCAGTGAAAATTGAAACAAGAAAGAACTTTCTAGAACTTAAAATTTGTCTTGTTTTCTTTTCCTGGTGTTCCTTTTTGTATAGCGAGATCACTTTTTTCTTCAGTATATGTATTTAATTGTCCAATATTTTGTCAAGTAATAACAATTGACAGCTGTTTCTCAGTTCTCATTATCAACAATGTGAAGTGGTGATAAGAGAGAGTCTCGTATGATTCTTTTGTTCTATGCTTTTGCAGTGCAACCATAGTCATCGCTTATCTGATGAAAAAGCATGGTGTGAGCCTGTCTGAAGCTTTTCAGCTTGTTAAGAGTAAAAGACCAGTTATTTCTCCCAATGCTGGTTTTATGATTCAGCTGCAAAATTATGATAAAACCCTTAAAGGTACAGCTTTTTGTTCACTTGGTGGTTTTACTCGCATGATCTAAGGTTAACGAGTTTTAGTTATCTCAGTACTGTGATGCCATTATCATGTTGCATCTGTGAGGATTGGTGATAAAAATGAGGATTTGCTATGTTTTTTTGAGAATGGTAACATGTATATATATGTCAAAGGAAGAAGGATTAGCTCTGTTACTTCTGAATTATGTCAAATTGTCATTTATATAGTTGTGAACTGAAATCAAAATACAGCCGGCAGATTTATCAAAACCACATAAAGAAAAAGAAACAAAGTACAGCCGGCAGTTCCCTTGATTGTACCTAGCAAAACAATGTTGCGTTGTTCCAATTTAACAACCACGAGTTTTCCAGACAATCAAATAAACTCCCCAGTGAAACATCCGGTGCTAGGTACTTTTGTTCTGTGAAATCATTAGCTCGATCCAATAACAGTAAATCTCCTAAATCTAAGGCATGCATCATGAGTCACATATACATGCAGCCTTTTCTGGGGTTCATAAAAGAAGGAATGAGTTGGCCCACAGTTCATATTTTGCTGCTTCATCAAATTCAAATGTGCTGTACTTCCTATATACCCTAGATAACCCTGTTAATTTCCGTTGCTGCCATCGCAATCAAACTGAACCACTCTAGTAAATTGACCCCTCAGGTCAAACTTGTCAGTACCTTAATGAATCATGTGACTTTGTAAAGCCCTCATCTTCCATTCTGATGTATTACATAGTAGTTTTGTGAAAGCTCATGTTTCTGTAGCAAGCATATAGATTTTTACTAGGGGATTCTTTCATCACGACAATCTATTAAAGTCTCTTGAAATATATCTTTGAGTTCATTCTTCACCATATTTTCTTTATTTGACAATCTTTGTCTGTTCCAAAAAAATACTAAGGGTTGGTCTTTAGCTGCTCATGTTCCTCCACATTCGTGAGATACTTAGAAGCACATTCTCCTATGAGCTAAAATTGCTATTTGTGGTTTCCTGGTTTTCTTTTTTTCTGGGATAACCGTGGTGTCTGACCCAACTTGCTCGCACCTTGACTAATACTGCGGGGTACCTTCTATCTCCCACCAATACATAATCGGGTAACTCTCTCCACCAAGGCTTGTAAGCTAGTTATTGGCAGGGGCGAATTTAGGGGGGCGGAAGGGGGTTCACCCAAACCCCCTTCGCCGAAAAATTACACTGTATATATGAGGCAAAATCTGTTTTTTATCTCTATATATTAAGTTTTGAATCCCCTTGACACAACCCAAAAGTGTAGCTTAGTGGTAAGTGGTTCAAAACCTTTGTAAGGTCATAAGTTCAATTCTCACTAGCTACAATGTATTTTAACTTTTTTCATTTTGAACCCCCTTAGCAGAGATCCTACCTCTGCCACTGGTTATTGTTATTGTGAATATTGGTTATGATGGACCTATTGCCTGAGACTACGATCACGTTTTTTACAGATGTATTAGGTTTGGTTAATCCCCTACTTGACGACACAAGGGTGAAATCATTGGAGTTGACAAGATCTAGGCATTCTACCTTCTTCTGAAAAATGGACATTCTTCATGCTACATGAGTTTTGCCTAAAGAAGTAGCAGTAGCAGATAACTTGTCTTCTAGGCATAAGTAGGTTGAACGCAGTAGTAAGTCTGCCCAATGGAATGAAGGGACAAATCTGCAGTTCTGGTCTTGATTATGTGATTAGGTAAACAGTTTTTCTGTGGCTAACTTCTTGTTTTTTTGTGGTGGAGAAAAAATATTATTAATCACCACGAACATAATACAATTTGAAACTCCTCATGACTTGCAAATCTATGTATACCTACCAGGTAGGGCTACCAAAAAGACTTCGCAAGTTTTAAAATTACTATATCTGTACATTAAAGTATCCTATCTGTATAAATTTTCTATCCATTCGCTCTATTACTCTGCCTTCTATCCAAAATTGTATGCATTCGTACCTTGCACCCCTATTTGATCTGTTCATAGACTTTCTTAGGTCGAGGGACCCCGTGATGCCATAAGGCTGCATTCCTAGCCTTCCATATATTATGTTATAGATCAGCCTCTCCATCCTCACAAGGTAGGGGTAAGGTCTGCGTACACACTACCCTCCCCAGACCCCACAATGTGGGATAATACTGCGTATGTTGTTGTATCAGTGCAGCCAAGATAGCCATAGCAAAAGCTCTGCACCATTTTCCTTTAAGCAGTCTTGCCACCATATGCAATATCCCTTGGAGGTCTGTTTGTTTTATACCTATCCTCATCCAATTTAGTATTTCCTGCAGACGAGCTCTCGGGAACTGATATTGAAAGAACAAGTGTTCCACAGATTCTGTGTTTCCACCACATATCAGGCAATTACTGTCTTGACTGATCCCTAGTCGAAGCAATATTTCTTTGGTAAGCAATCTTTTGTGCATTGTTAACCAGGAGATTAAACTATGATTTGGGATATTTACCTTGTCTCCATATCCATCTTCTCGAAAGCCAGTCCTCCAGACATCCATTCCTCCATTTGTACTCACTACTGATTGAGTACCTCCTATTCTGTGCAAGCAACCCATTGTTCACATATATGCAGCAAACTTGTCTTTGATGGAGCAGAGTATCTTCCAATACCAACAACAGTCCCGTGGATGAGAGTATTGCCACCAAGCTCTCCCTTTTATGTAGATATGAAACCTATTTGACTCATAGATTGTTAGTCTTTTGTGCTATATTCAAACATATTTACCACAGCAGCCTCATTCCAGATTACGCAGTCAATGATTCCCAGTCCACTTTTCCTCTTAAGTCTAGAAACCAAGTCCCACGACAGTAGGGGGGCTCTGTTAGTAACTGTCTTACCATCCCATAAGGAATTTCGACATATTGCAGCGATACCCTTCAAAACACTCCTACGAAGTATGAAAACGGAAGACCAGTAACTGTGGATATGCAGTAGCACTGAATTGACCAGCTGCACTCTTCCTGCATAGGATAGGTGTCTGGATCCCCAGCCTTGCACTCTTGTTGTAAGCTTATCAATTAGCATCTCACAATCAACTATAAAGATCTTCGTTGATGATATTTGTATACCAAGATCCTAAAAGGTAGTGATACTTTTTGGTACCCTGTCAGTTCACAGAAGTCTGCCACACAGTGAGGCTCCATATTGGCACTGAAGATGTTGGATTTATCTGCATTAGTTCTCAGACCATATGCATTTGAAAAAGTTCTCAGCCTCTCAGCACTACATCACCGACTTAAAATCTCCTTTACAAAACATCATTACATCATGTGCGAAGCATAGGTGGTTTAGATTTGGTCCCCTGCATTTGGTGTGATACCCATATCCTTCCTGGATTGCTACCATGTTCATTATCCTTGTGAAGTATTCCGTGCATATTACAAACAACAAAGGACAAAGGAGAAGTATTCCCTCTTCCTTTTAATGCAAACCGTACAATCCACCATTTAAAGATATGGTGTACTGTGTAGTTGAGATACATGTCATAGTCCATTTGTAAAATTTCATGGGGAAATTAAGTGCATGTAACATCTCCTCCACAAATCCCCGTTCAACTGAGTCATAGGAAAGAGCTTTCCAGAGGTTAATTTTGATCAAACAACTTTTTGTAATCTGCACATATTCAACATTTTCTATCGGAAGATTCTCTCTCATTTTCTTGAATTCATTAGTTAATTTGTTAGTTGGGCTTGCAAATTCATCATTTTACTATGTTTTCAGTTCATTATATTTCTTGCCGTCTTTTCAAAATTGCAGATCTGAGTGCTCCAAATGTACATGAGGAAACTGGGTCATTACTCTCCTAGTCTGATGCAGTTTGATCCATTCTGTAGCCGCCATTAAAGTTACGCTGTGATGAAAAGTACACAGCGCGATATCTTGTTAATTGAATTTAACAGTAAGAATTGTTTGATAAACAATGATAATGAATTGATAATTCCATTGAGAAAGCTACTCTGCCTAGGCATACTGCTTGAAGATATTCTTTCATCATGGAGAATTTTTAAATTTTGTTTATGTTAGCATATATTTCCTTCATATTCTCTATTTATTTTGTTCAGGAATGTCTTTTTCTTAAAATATAAAGGTCAACTTCTTTTAATGCATACGAACAGCACTTGCTCCGATTCTAGTGTTTGCCCCCAAAAAAGGAAGATCTAATTGATACAAATATTAATGTTAAACTCTAATCTTTTCATTCATGCCAAGTCGTTCTACAACGATATACGAAACGGAGCAATTGGTAAACTCCTTCCCCCCC